TAGTGTCCAGTCTATTTTGTTAGCCATGACTTGACCTAGGCAGAGTAGAGACACTCATTTGTAGAAAGGATGGCTCTAAATGTTGTCATCACAGCCAGGAAGCTGAAGCCATACTCCAGCGCTCATGTCGTACATATACTTACAAATTATCCATTGAAGAAAGCATTACAAAGAATGGATGCCTCAGGAATGCTATTAAAATGGGCGATCAAGTTGACTGAGTATGAACTTGAGATCAAACCCCGCAACTCAATAAAAGCTCAAGACCTGGCAGATTTCTTGGTAGAAGCCCGTTATGAAGAAGTGGAGGAAGAAGTGTGTACTTGGAATGTGGCTATGGACGGTTCTGCCGCCCAAAAAGGCAGAGGAGCTTGGATAATTATGACCTCACCAGAGGGCTATGTTTTTAAATATGCAATCAAGTTCATATTCAAAGCCTCCAATAATGAAGCTGAATACGAGGCCACACTAGCAGGTTTGAGAAAGAGTTTGGCAGCAGGTGCCAAGAAGGTGAAACTCCAAACTAACTCTCAGCTTATAGCGAGCCAACTTAAGGGGGTTTATGAGGCCAAAGAGCCATTAGTGCAGAAGTATGTGACTGCAGTGAAAGAGTTAATAGCCCAGTTAATCAACTTTGATATTAATCTAGTCCATAGAGCAGAGAATGCTCAGGCAGATGCACTGTCAAAACTGGCCACTTGTTCAGGGCTGGAGACAATGTAGAAAGTGTTCCTCCAATCTTTCCACTTGTTCTCCTTCCCTAAAGTAATCATATAGCCCTTGTGGCTAGACAACTGGTACCAGCCGGTCCCGCTTGTTTTTGGGGTCCGCTTGAGGTAATTCATGGTTGCGAATGCTTCAAAGCTGGGGTCTACTTCATGCATTTTGCAGCCGGCAACATAGCCCAAGATGTTGAACCAAGAGTTTAGGGCCAGTTGCCAGACACCCAGCTGGTATCCGTCTAGGATTCGCTCCACAGCCGGATGTAGAGGAAATCTTAGGCCAACCTTAAAAGGCGCCTTATAGCAACCAAAACATTCGTCCCCGTAGCTGGACCCCTCTGGCCAAACTACGGTGTCCTCGGCATCTGGCGTGCATAAGATATATGTAAGGTTTTGTAGTGACCCGACACTACGCGGAAGGAAACCCACCAAGACCCGCCCCTTAATTAAAGCAATTAACAAGCATAATAAACTTAATCAGACAAGATTAAGAACAAGAATTATACCTTTGACGCGTGCTTCGCTCCGAAAGAGCTCTTACTTCAAAATCCCGAAAACACGAGATCTCCGATGGATCGTACCCTCGACCCGACCCAAGCGTCCTATGTCTTGAAGGTTAGTCAAGATCCGGACAAAATAACTATGAGTGTTACAAATCAAAGGTTTACTCTTTCTTAGAGTTGCCTTTTTAATTCCACTCAAGGTTGTTTTCTCAAAATCCCAACCAAGTGGGTATTTATAGAGAATGGGGACTTGAAACCCCTTTTCATGATCAATGTGGGATCATGTGCAATTGCAATAATTTATTTAATTCCAAAATAAATAATTAGGCAAAAGCAATCACAAGGCAACAAGTGGCAAGAGGAGAGAATGGGTTAGGTGAGGACCATATCCCATGGGGGGGGGGGACCATTGCCTTGCTCCCCAAGGGAAGCCTAGAGGCTTTAGTCCCCACCTCTCCTAAACAGCAACTCACAAGGCAGCTGGGCTGGCTGCCACCTGGTACTGCCAGCACACCCAGCCAGCTAGCACCATGCTGCCTAACAGCTCTCTCGCATGCATGGTGCTGGTGCGTGCTGGCGCTAGTGCTGGTGCGTGCCAGTGCTAGGCGCAGGTGCGTGCTGGCGCTGGTGCTGGCCCTCGCATCCCACGCACCACATGCATCATCGTTGCACCCTTCGCACATGCTCGCACACCCAGCCAGCTAGCACCACTCGCCCATGCTCGCACAGCTACACGCAAGGCCGGTGTTGCCTGCCAGCTAGCTGTGCTTGGTGCGTGGCCTGCGATGGTGCCTAGCACACACGCAAGGCCAGTGCTCCCTGCTAGCTTGTTGTGCTATGGTGCACACGCACACGCACACACGCATGTGCCTAGCACTGCGATGGTGCTGTGCGTGGTGCTAGGGGGCTGCGATAGTGCCCACGCTTATGTACACACACATGGGTGCTGTGCTTGGTGCGATAGGGCTGCGATGGTGCCTAGCATACACGCTAGGGCTGCGATAGTGCCTAGGCATAATGCTAGTGTTGCGATAGTGCCTAGCACACCATGGTGCGCCTATCACACACATGGTGCGCCTAGGCTTGCGATGTGCTAGCCTAGCCTAGCTACGGCTACGCTCATATTTGTTGCTTGTGATTTTGCGACGCTCGGTCACGACGCCCTAGGCTCGATATCCGACGTCTGTATTCATAAAACTCTGCTGACTCATTAAATCCTTTCGAATTAATTCGTCGTCTTGGATCGATGATTCGATAGGGTTCGACCCGAAGGGTTCTGTTAAGATTAAGCTGTAATATCAATTGTACATTGATATTATTGATCGGAAGCGGCCTCCACCTAGGCATTCCGATCACTTGACCTTACTGAAGAATTAGCTCCGTAATAATTCTGAACCCTCTATCGGAAGAACACACTTGTTGGAAGGGCACCATTCCTTTCAATATAATCATGCCCCATGACATGGTCAGCTCTGAAGCTTCCTATTTTATCCGCCATCATTTTTAGCCTGCCTGCGGGAACATGATGATAGTAGGTGGCATATTACTCTTGGCGGGTAGCAAACGGCTCCGCCCAGTCTTCTTCCATTTCTGCTAAAGGGATTCTCTCGCTGTCTCCAGCCGAGAGTGCCTCTCTTCAGGGTCATCAAAGAATTTGCTTGAAGTACTTGGCTCAAAGTCACTACCTGAGCTTTCAGATCTAGCGTCCGCCGGATGGGCTAGATCAACAAAGCCTGGCATGTCATTTTGAGCCTCCTCCCCTGATTCTTCTAAAATAGAATCACTGGGAGTGCTTGGGGCGTCATGCGGCACGTCAAATATCTCACTGACAGGCGAATAGAAGGAGGAGCCGTCCAAGTTGGTCACCCTTGAAGTTCTTTTAGTTCTGGCCATGGTGTCCTGCACAGACACATAGACAGTCGGACATGGGGCTGTTCGCAAAGGGTGGTCCAGCAAGGGGCAGTCGGCACTCCTAGTTCTAGATTCAGCCGTCCCCGGTGACCGACTGATCACTAACCTAGGCCGTGTCGTGTGGTTTTGAGAAACCATTTTCAAAAAGAAAACAAAGAGAAAGAGCAAGAGAATGCAGGCTCTTATCTTTGATTTAAAAAGATTGAAGGTGCTTGAAAAGATCTGTAGTTGTAAGAGTAGGCAGTCAGCTAGCAAGCGGCAGTCGTTCTTCAAAAAGATGTTAAAGGCAAGTCCAAAGTTTGAGAGTTTCAAAATTCTAGAATGTCCAAACAAATGATTTGGACATCCCCTATTTATAGGGGGGGTGAATTTCAAGGGGCGGTCCAAAAAAAAAAAAAAAAAAAGACGGTAAAAACCGTTGCCCAGTCTGAGAGAGACACCTGTCATAGGCGCCACGTGGCAAGCCACGTCACCCCTGTGAGGGCAAATGATTAGGGGATTTTTTCCCGCCACGTGTCACCCTCGTGGACCAACCAGAGTCCATCACGTGTCACTTCGTGAGAGGTCCAAGGTGGACCAATCAGGCCACGACACGTGGCAGACAGATTGCCAACTAGGAAGGTGACCATTAACGGACCAAATTTCTAGTTAAGCCCAGTCCGTCCTATGTTTCTGAAACCTAGTACTGGGCACACATTACGAGACCCTATAAAAGGGAGATGTTCCCTTTAAGTAACATCATTCAAAAATTATAAACACACGTGTACATTAATTGCCGAGCATTAACTCCAGCTTTAATTGCATTTCTTAAGAGCTAAGCCTCGGATTTCGAGGCTATCTCAGATAGCCGGATGATCACTTCTCTCCTAAGAGGAACCTGATCCCCTTTACTTTCCGCTCTTTTTACATCCGAACACAGTCTAACTTGATCGTCGGAGGCAGAACTCCACCCAACCGGAGTTTCCGTGGTTTTGCAGGTACAGGGTCGGCATCTATTCTTGGAATTGTAACTCTCCCGAGGGACTCCAAAAATCCCGAAACATAATTGATTTGTTTGTGATTAAAATGCTTTATTTTCCTTGTCTTACCAATTATTGCATTTGAGGGGCCCATCAATTGTTGTAGATGGGTGGATTGAACTTGGTTATGGCGTTAGCGTGATCTAGGAATTTCCATTGAATGATTTGGTTGATTTGTACCTCAATTCGTGTGGCTTATGACGATAGTGGAACTTGTGCTTGAGTTGAGAAATCAATTAACCCCGATAGGTGGTTAGATTGTGCTTTAAATCATTGAAATGAATTGCTTAGTTCACGTTTCAATTTAATTTCATGCTTGATCATGCTTGAGTGAATACTATGCCTAAACCATTTCCCTTAGTGTTTTATTTCTTGTTTTAGTGTCATTAGACATTAGATTACTTCTCCCTATCCCGGACTAGCTTAATTGTTGATAACATTTGATAGTGCTTAATTGTTCCATGTGGTTCGACACCTATGCTTACCTTATACTAGTATTAGGTTTTTTTAGATTGTATAAATTGTATTTGATCTAGGAATAGACAATTGACGACACGGTTATTCCCTCGTCATGACAATTTTTAATATTTATGCCATGGGTATTTATTTGGCAAAAAAATTCACTTGTCACGAGTATTAACGTGGCTAACAAATTATTTGCCACAAAATCTAACGAGGCTAATAAACATTGTTGTCACAAATATTATTGTGGCTAATAAGTTTGTTTGTCATAAGCACTACAATGGTTAATAAACCATATACGGAGTACTAAGTATATATGTATAAAGTTTATTAGCCAATGTAGTGTTTTTCACCCAATTTGATGAAAAAACACTTTACATACATACACATAAACCTTAGATATTTTCCTTAATAGCTTGTAAATTTACATAGTTCATCCCAAAAAAAAAAAAAGAAAAAAAAAATACAATTAGTAAATTAGAGTACACTACAATTGGAGCAGCAACAAAAAAAGATGAAGCAACAACAATCAGCAAAGCAGAAGTAGTAGCAGTGTCACTCAGAGAAGCAGCAGCGTCCAACTACACCCTGGCAAAGCCTGGAGCGTTTAAAACACCTTGGTTTGACCAACACACTACAGAGCATGAACGTCTTCAATTTCAACCAACAACGCTTTCTTCTTTCCGAGATTCTGTCATAATAAGTCCAAAATTTAGTTCACTGCAATTTCAGAAGAACCATATTTGTACATACTAAAATAAGTATGAGCTAACGTAAGAGAGTTTTGCTCATATAGTACACTAAAAAAGAAACTCCAAAGTACACTTCCATACAAAAAATATTGGCTGACCCATCACGGCAGTAGAGCTTACAATTAAAGCTAGTGCACACTGTAAAGTGGTTGACAATGTAAAAGTTCTAGTAAGCATCAATGACTAACAACCTCTAAAACGAGGAAAAAAACAAGTGTATTTCAAAATTTGTGGATACATTAATCTGTAAGAGACTTTGCATGGCTATTCGGTAGGTAAAAGTGTAAGAGACACAACCAATGTTCTTAAACCATACCTCTTGATTAGAATCTAAATCATAACCATTCTTTGCTGCCAGTGCTTTGGCAAATCCCACAGAGCCCTGAAGTTCAACAATTCAGACATTAAAAAACAAATTTGGAGCTCTAGTACAAACCTAACACTACAAAGAAGAAAACTTCTCTTATCCTTACCAATATAGCTACACCAGTTATAAGAAATGACGTTGGAATCAAGGACTTGACCTGAGAAAACTCTGTTGAGGTATTTACATAGCCTACACCAAGTCAGAGAATAGAATTAAGAAACGTCCGAACTTTCAATTTGGGACCAACAACAATTCATGGACATTACATTTCTATAATGCATATACCACTAGCCGAACCACAGAGGATGAAAGGCAAAGAAAATCACTAAACAAGCATAGCAAAACATCAAGGCTACTGCCTCCCTCACAAGACAAAATTAAAATTAAAACAGAAAACAGACCTTTCTAGTACAAATTGATAGAAGTTGCTGACTTTTATCCGGATCCTATAATCATGTTGTTAGTTCAAATATCACCAAGAGTGCAAGTATATAGAATGGAATCCAAATCGCCCATAAAGTTGTTCTTAAGATGAGGATAAAAGCAATCAATTATAGTAATTTGACAAAAAAAAGCCACTGCAAACAAAAAAAAAAAGTGCATGGAGAACAAGTATATTTTTCATCAATTTTACATATTTTGGATGATAATGGAAAAAAAGTTAGAGGGAAATGGAAATTAAGGAGAGCTCATAAAGCTGAGAATATTTTGAATAGTTCCATCATAAAGAAACACATTAATGGACCCTGACTTTCTTTCTTTAGATTGATATGGGGAGCAATATAACAATGGCAATAATGATAGCAGAAAAAACCAACAGAAGTGGCAAATAATAGTAGTCTAGAGTGCAGCCTATGCAACAAAATAAAGCAGTAGCAACATTGCATTTGGACAATGGTAGCAGCAAGTGGCAGCATCAGCATCGTCTTGACAGCAAAATCAACAAAATGCAGCATCAATAAATCACTGTTTTTTAAAGTACAAGTGTAAACCTGGCTTGTATACTCATCTAGAATAGATAAAAATATCACATCACTACCTACGAGAGCTAACACACCCACATGAAATTCTTAACAAACTAAACTAGATCATCAATTTCATATATTAAATCACAAAAACCGAGCTCTTGCATGTTGCAATGACAGAACCTACAATATGATCACTTACAAAGCTATCACAAACCTCCAAGCTCCGCGATTTAAACTCCGTCTTCGAAAATCAAAGTTACATGCTTTTCCCAATTAGGGGTCAAATTAGACAAACAATAACACCCTCCAATCCATATCATCAGACCACTTAACTGAACTTATTTGTAAAAAAATACAGAGCTGAAGACAACAAAGTCCCCTTTATATGGAAAGATTATATTCAAGATCCCAACTAGGCTAGTGAATAATTATTTGAATTCAATCTACCTACAAATGAACATGTACTCTGCCATATAAACACCCAAGCCTCAATTAAAGGTTTACAACATCCTATCCGGTCATCATAATTCACTTTACCACAATGCAACCCACATCACCCCTAATTCTATTTCTCATATTCGTGCAAAAAAAAAATAGCAATAGATCAGTAAAAAATAAATTTGTTATTCAAATCTCTGCTTGTAATTCTATAATTTGTGCAAAAAATAGCAATAAAAAAAGAAAAACTAAACTAAGTTAGTTTACAATTGAACTCCTAAAATCTATGTAGTATGAAAACAACTAGAAAAAAGTGAAGAAGAGATCTTACCTTGTCGAAACCGATACACAACTACTGAAGAAATACGGCCAATGTAGTGAATTTATGATATTAACAATCCGAAAATTGAACCCTAAATTCGAAAACAAACTTAAATTCTATCACAATCGGCAGTGTAGTGAATTTATGATATTAACCAGCAAAATGTCATAATTTCATTGATTTCAAACCAAAACTATTAAAAAATTAATTAGAAGAATGATTAATAATCAAATTAACGAGATAAACCTAGATTGTGAAATTGATATAGGATGAATACAAAAAGAAGCAACATCGTACCTCAGAATCTGATTAAATGAAGGATAGAGGACAGATGCCGCATGAACGGAGAGCGTGAACAACGCTTCAACGGGAAATCGACATAGGAAGAGCGGAAGCACGCAAGAGGGCGGGAGAGGAAGGGGGACCACTGGACCAAGCAAGAAGAAAAGCAAGGAGAGGAGTGGCAAGCGTGCGCCGGAAACCCGAATCGGCGGCGCTATTGAGTGGTCGGGAACTTAGTGTGAGAATGAAAGGAGGCCTGTCTTCAAAACTAAACAAGGGTTTTGTTCCTCTGTTTTTAATTGGCCGGACATACTATATTAAAATGCTACAGTCATAAAACCCGTGGCTTATTTATTTAAGACCGGTTTTTATTTTAACCGTTTAAGGAACCGTTCATTTCACCTTATTTTTATTGAATTGAAATTCTTTTTATTGAAATAAAACTATTTTGCTGAATTTAAATTATTTTTAGTCAACTGAAATTAATTTCTGTGGACACCCAATTCTATCTCCTCAAAAACCAAATCTAGTGATGAGTACCTTCCACGTTCTGATTTACGAGTTTGGTAAAGAGTTGAAGAGTCTCGTAATATTCCCTTAAGCCTTGACCATATTTCAAAACTTCCCTAAAAATTTTTAATACAAGTCATTTGTTTTGTGGATTTAAACCCAAAATCATTCATTTCGTGTCCCCCAAAATCATTCATTTCGTATCCAAACCTTAAAAACGTATTGTGGTCCATAATCTTGGTCCAATTATTGTTTAGCTGGATGAGGCTTGAAAATAGCTTTCCAACGATATATTATAAGCCTAAATCCGACTTAAAACGAATAAGTTATGGCCAAAATACTAAACCGAGCTCAAACCGAGCCTAGGTCCACCTTACCAACGACCTAATGATCATGTGAGGGTCCAAATACCTTATTCCCAATATTAAGCCAATTATGATTCTTTAGGAACTTCTAGAAGTCTCTACAAGGTTCTAATCTATCCTTTCTGAAAAGATAAAGATCAAAGAGTTTGAGATTGAATAAAACTTCTCTTTAAATAATCCTAAACTGACACTGTTCCACTATTTCGATCATATCTTAAATTCTACAAAAGATATCAATCTGATTCTAATTGGGTTGGAAATTAGACTTTCAGAGCTTTCCAACGATACATTATTTATCTTATTCCGATTTTTGGATCAAAAGTTATGATAAAAATAAAAACCACAAAATTGCAGGACCATCGCATCGCAATAGGTCTATCGCCCCGCGATAAAACTTGTTTTATTTCGTTTCAAATTATGATCTTTTCTGATCGCTTTGACTCACTTATTTCTTATAAATAGAGGTCGTTTTCCCCATTTTCAAATCAGCTAGAACCATCAATCATAAGCTATTACCACCTAGCTCTAATCATCAATCCTTATCTATCATCCATGTTCTTAGCCTAAACACATCCTTGATACATCTAAACAACACCTCCTTCACGAGACTTGAATACTCCTATCCATCCTCGACGTTGCCTTCGACCTCGACGTGAAAGGTTGATAGTTCTGAGGGTTTGGTCCCAAAATCTATATTTCAATTCATATTTTGATTTATTTACTTTATTGATTTAACCCTTCTTGAAGTTACTCATGTGTGTATTGTTACTCACCCTTGTAGCGTGCTTCCCTCAACCTTTGAGCTCGGACTTGAAACTTCAAGTTCCGCAAGTGCGAGAACCTCCGACGGCTCACACTCTCTCTACCAAACCGTACTGGTCCCTACCCCGAAGCTTGGTCGGGGTTAGACCAAAACAACTTGGAGTTATTAAAACAAAGGTTTTCTCTTCTTTGGAGATCCCTTGAAGTTCACCAACTCAAGTGAATTTCCCAAATGCCAAATGTTTGGTATTTGTAGGGAATAGTGCCCTTGAAATCCCATCATCTTTCAATGTGGGATAGTTCGTATAAGGGCAAAGTAGAATTTAATTTAATTCTAAATTAAATTAAAAAGCCAAATGAATCACCAAACGACAAGTGTCATATGAAGAGCAAGAGGTTAGGTGAGGACCACAAAGGGAGGACCACCTTCCCATTGCTCCCAAAACAAACCCACAAAACTGCTCCCACACACACACCCACTCGCACTGCGCCAGCTAGCGTGGCCAGCCTTGGGCGCCAAGGCTACCTTGCTGGCGGCTTAGCCCCTTGGCTAGGCCTGCTATCCGGCCTCGCATGCTCGGACGCTCAGCCCAGCAAGCTATGCGTGCTTGCGGGCTGCTAGGCGTGCTAGGCGCTCCTACCGCAAGCCTAGTTTGCATGCTGCTGCTGCTTCCTCGCGCGAGGCTCAGCGAGCATTTGCTGATTGCCTTGGTTGCGATGGTGCGAGGTTGGTGCTAGCATGCTAGCCTGTTGCGCTAGCTAGCCAGCGATGCTAGTTGCAAGCTAGCTCGGCATGCCGCAACTCCCAAGCCAGCACGCGCCTGCTGCGGCTGGGCTTGCGGCCATGCTTCGCATGCTGGTAGCCTTGCTAGCTATATTGCCCTAGCCCTCGGATGGCTCGGCCATTCCGAAGCTAGGGCTATACGTTGTGACTTATCGTTTGGTTGATTTTTTAGTCTCGTCGTTTCCTAAATTCGACTCGACTTACGATACTCAGTTTCGACGCCCTAAGCTTGGAATCCGACGTCTTTGTTTGTAAATATTCTATTGACTCATTTAATCCTTCGAATTAATTCGTCGCTTCGGTTCGGTTACACGATTGGGTGTGGCCCGAAGGGTTCAGTCAAGATTAAGCTGTAATATTAATTGTTCATTAATATTACTGATCGGATGCGGCCTCCAACTAGGCATTCCGATCACTTGACCTCACTGAATAATTAGCTTTCTAATTAATTCCGCACCCTCTATCGGAATAATACACTTGTTCGAAGGACACCATTCCCTTCAATCTTCTACTTATCCTTCCGGACAACTGTGCTAATTAATTGTGTGTAGCCTATTTCTTATACTTAATGTCTCTTCATGAATTATAATGTAAAATTCTTCGTCATCCTTATTACGTCCTAAAGTGTTTCTTGAGTTCCAAGTTCGACTGTCAATAAGCAGATGCTTTCTAATATCCATTTAAGCATGGCCATGCATTTTCACAATCTCGCTCTTTGAGACGTCTTGTAAACAACAAAGACATGTTCCCTACTGTTAATAGGGGGACATTTTCCCAATCTTGCATTGTTAGCTTCCCTTGCTAAGAGGCCCTAGCCACCTAAATGTTGCCTTTATAATCCCCTTGTACGGCAAACGTTTGACAACATCAAAGCGGACTAGTACTCAAACAAGAGAACTAACAATACTCATGGTCGAGGAAAAAGGTTCCGACAGCCATAATGAGTAATCTCTTAAAGTATTCTCATAGGTCGATCCGATATAATTCAAAACTGATACTTGTGCAAATAATTTATGACAATTTTGTCCTTGTAGCACAAGAAACGGTGCTGTAAATCATACTACACACTAATCTCACGCGGTCATTAGTCGTCCAACTTTCAAATGACCTCGATTAGGGATAATTTGGATATGATATTCAACGTTCACTTAATAGGTGTTTCTTTATCAAAGATATGGTCATGATACCCTATTTTGAATGTTCTAAAATCGAATGGACTCATTATTTAATTCTAAACCACAATTGAAAAGAAATGGAATAATGATTTAAAGAAAAATTAAATTACTCCATAAATGAATGGTTTAACATAGTGTTTTACATTAAGATCTCCACAACTTAATTAAAACATACAATCAAAGCCAATCTCCAATGTGCCTAGTTCCCATTGCCTCAACGTGCTTGTTGTGTTTCACTTGAGGCAAAGGTTTAGTGAGTGGATCGACTACATTGTCGTCTGTTCCAATCTTGCAAATTCTGATTTCACCCTCGGACTTCCATTCCCTTATCATGTAAAATCGCCTCCTGACATGTTTGACTTGCTTATGCTCCCTTAGCTCTCTGGCCTGAGCAATAGCCCCACTATTATCATAGTAGAGGTCTATTTGTTCCTTTATTGAGGGGACAACACGAAGTTCACCAACGAACTTACGAATCCAAACTACCTCCTTAGCTGCTTCTGAAGCTGCCAAGCATTCGGCTTCAGTTGTAGAATCTGCAGTCATGCTTTGCTTAGCACTCTTCCAACTGAACGCTTCTCCATTCAGACAGAATATGTATCTTGATTGTGACTTGAAGTCGTCTCTGTCGCTCTGGAAGCTTGCGTTGGTATAACCTTCAACAACCAAATCCTTACTCCCACCATAGACCAGAAATTTATCCTTGTTCCACTTCAGGTACTTTAGGATATTGTTGGCCGCAGTCCAATGCGCCTCTCCTGGGTCTAATTGGTATCGGGTCGTATCACTCAAGGCATACGATACATCCGACTTAGTACATATCATGGCTTACATGATTGATCCAATAAGCGAAGCATATGGAATCTGACTCATCCTCTCTCGGTATTCAGGTGTCTTCGGACACTGTTTCTTGCTGAGAGTTATGCCACGTGACATGGGTAGATGGCTTCTCTTTGCTAGTACCTTATCGATATAAGTACTTTGGCTCAATCCAATCATCTTCTTAGATCTATCACTATAGATCTTGATGCCCAATATGTATTGCGCCTCTCCCAAGTCCTTCATTGAGAACCACTTTCCAAGCCAAGCCTTTACAGACTCTAACATTGGAATACTATTTCCAGTGAGCAATATGTCATCTTCATATAAGACAAGGAATGCGATGTCACTCCCACTGACCTTCTTGTAAACACAAGACTCATCTGGATTCTTGATAAAACCAAACTCACTGATGGCTTCATCGAATCGAAGATTCCAACTTCTGCTTGCCTGCTTTAGTCCATAAATGGACATCTTAAGCTTGCATACCTTCCCAACATTGTTTGGATCTACTAAACCTTCCGGTTATGTCATGTACACAGTTTCTTACAAAATCCCATTAAGGAAGGTGGTTTTCAGGTCCATTTTCCATATCTCATAATCATAATGTATGGCAATTGCTAGGATAATCCAGACGGACTTAAGCATGGTGACTGGCGAGAAGGTTGAGCATTTGCTTTGTCATTTTGACCTTGACCAGTTGCTTCCAAAGCAATTTGATTGTCAGTTTTGTCAGTTTGACTTTATTTCTCACCTTCTCGAACTTCATGAAGTTCGATTTTCCTCCCACTTGTCATTTTGGATAGACACTCCTTTACCAAAAAGACACCATCTCGAGAAACAAATATGTTGTTCTCAGATTGGTTGTAGAAGTAATACCCCTTTGTTTCTTT